TTGTGTCTCAGCAGATGGAACCAGAGATGCTCTTGAAGTTGTGTTTACCGATGTAAAAGTCTCAGTGTTATCAGTGCTATCAGTGTTATCAGACACGGAGAGCGATTAATGAATGACTTTCTTGTGGAAGCCGCGGTGGCTGCGTGTTAGACGGCTGACTTGGTGTGCTGGCGATTAGGTGCCTGACTTTGAGGGTGTGGGTTCGAAGGATGGGTCTCAACCCAACAAAAGTACTAGAATCTGTAGTTTACTCAGAAAGTGTTATCCCAAATCCCTGGCATCGATTACACTTCCACCTCCAAATGACGACGTCGATTAAGGCAAAGGTCGCTGAAATGTTCTCCTTGCATACGGTCCCAGTCTAGTCATCTGAACTTCATAAGATAGACTCTCAATACGAGGCCAGGTTTGCCTGACGGTGATGTGGGCGCATTTATGTTTGCGCATCATCCATCGTATGGACTGGTTGTTGTGTGGTCTGTTGTGACATTATTTAGACAGAACCTAGGAAATCTCCAAAGTGCTGTTAATGTAGCAGTATAGATGCCGTAGATGCATCGACCGAATGTGGCTATGTGTGTTATGGTGGATTATTTCGTTGACTTGCTGAGACAGGAGCAGGACGCCACCGACATTATCCTAATGCAGCTGAATGCCGGGGGTCGTTTTCCACCTACCACGAAGTAAAGAGAGCTTGACAACGCCTTGGATTTGGCTAAACGTCGCCCACATAATGGGATACAGTATCGTGGTACTGTTCCTGAGTGATCTGTGCATTCAAAAGACGACGTTTAGTCAAATCCAGGGTGTTGTCAAGCTCTCAATACTTCTTCTCCTTGCAGTGTGTAGGTTGTTGTCAATCTGTTGTATTACATTGTTTGCGAGGATTTTGCAACAGAAGTTTAATAACATTGTGTTTTCACTTTAACTAGCTGTGCGGAATGTACTATCTGATATGTATATATGTATATCGATACTGGTGCCCCCTGACATTCCCTGACATCCATAATACATTTATGTGGAGCATTCTGCTCGTGACAATCTTGAGTTTCATGATCACGAATAATGTTTTTTTCACAACCGTGAGTACGTATTTGTCAATACACGTATTTAAAAAATACGATCAATTTCCCTTCAAGCGAAAACATTGCATTGTTCTTTTGTTTTCTTGAGTGGGATGGTTCTCTGCTTCACATGGTTAATGTTGATAGCAGAACAAACTGATTGTCCTATATTCCTGTGTAATTTGTTGTTGTACAGACCGTTCATAATTTATAGCTAGTGGGGTGACGACGATTTTAAGGGCGGGGAGAGTTTACCCATTTTGTTCTGGGGATGTAGGGGAAGGGGTGTCATCAATTTGTACACATGTACTACTCGGGGACAGCAATTTTGTACAGCAGTGAAGCCCCGTTAGTCCGGACTCCGATAATCCGGATGTCTCGGCTCACGGACGATTTTAGCTTGTTACCAATCTATGCCTATTTAATTTGCCTCGATAATCCGGAAATTCGGTTTCCGGAACCGGACGGTAAGTAGCTGTAACCAATCAGTAAAATAAACAGTAAATTGCTTCACAGTCCGGAAGCTGTAAGTCGTGTTTACGAACCATAACAACCATAATTCGTCTGGATTAACGATATATATATATTAAAAAATTATGTATGCTTTAACCGGGGATGAGGGTAAGTGATTTTGTAAATGACATGCAGGGGGGTCACTTTGTATATACATGCTTCTCCATAAAGTCATCATCATCCCCCTCCCCCCTAGCCATAAATTATGAACGGTCCCTAAATAGCATCACATTGTTTGCAAAGATTTCATAACATTGTGTATTAAAAAATACTAGTTGTCAGGTATTACAATCTAACACAAGCAGTGGTACTATGTTACTATATTTTAATACTTTTGGAGTCAGGTGTAACGGTAAAACTATCTGAACAGCTATTGACTAAAGCAAAATGTTATAAACCTTTCTAGAACGCATTTAAAATACATAGGTGGGCAAGCACATGGCTTTATTATTTCAAGTTACATATAATATTTTCACCCTTAAAATCCAGCTTATTTTGGAAGCAGTTGCTGCCTGATGAACAATGTCATCACTGACTTTACTGCCGGTCACACCGATATTATATATTGTATCACTGTTGTAATTGTAGTGCCATTGAAGTTAGTACTGCCACTCTTTTGTGTACTGCCATTGTGATTACTTTCCACCGATTGATTTACAAATCTAGTTGCTGGTGTTGGTTTCGCACTGAAATCTTTTACGCATTGATTATCGGATTGACATTTTGATCCAATTTGGTAGCCGACTGGAAACCACTATTCCTCATCAGACCAAGACAAAACTCTAGAGGCGGGTGGTTAAAGCGTTCGCTCGTCAAGGTTTGATAACCGACATGGGTACAATGTGTGAGGCCCATTTATGACATCGCACTCCGTGATATTGCTGGAATATTGCCACTACGTCACTAATTTACCGTTATGACTTGACGCTTACGCCGATATCTAACAAGAAGCCTGAAGGTAAGGCGTTTTAAACTACCATGATAAACATACGTTAATGTTCTTGTATGCAACACATTTAAAGTTAAAGCAAAGAAATACAACATAATTTCACGAAACACGACCTACTTATATCGGCGTCACTGGCGTGTTGTGTTGACCTACATGTACAGGAGCCTACTGGGACACGTCCGCGACACGCCGCCATACTGACCATCAATACGCTACTGACTCATTCAAACATCACAGTAGGTTTGTGGTACATTGGGAAAATCACTAGGAGCATTGATTGAGATACAAAAGGGTTTTCCATTTTTTAATTATACCTAATATATTAAACCTATAGCAATCCTCGATTTAAAATATATGTGTTTCTACAAAATATACTGTCCTTCATAAATGCTTCTTATGTTTACCAAAGCGACGTAAAACCCAACTCACTCACTCACTCACTCACTCTTATGTTTACCGTTGGATGTTGAAAAGAAACTTTCTGCCACAAAAATGTAATGTTACAAGATGTATTTATAAACAACATATTTAGACACATGACCGTTATTAAAAACATATCTAGTCTCCATGCAATATTCCACAGCTATTCTGAACTGAACTGTTTCTTTGACCGAATCACTGAATTCTAAGCACAGCAGAATAATACAGTATTCATGCAAATAATACATTTACGTAACCATAAGAAATCCGCACCCAGGATAGAGAATCTTGCAGTACTTTGACTTCGTAATAAGCATGTGTTTATGAATCTTCACCAAATTGTAAATGTGCAGGTGTTAGCAAAAAAGGGGAGCGTTTTGGACCCGGCAACTCACACCCATCAAAAATACATGCAAAGACAAGTAAGTTATTCACCAAACAACAAGGGGGCACATATGGCAAAGGTCATACTAAGGAATTGCAGGGCCTCTGTTACGTCATTAAACGTAGAAGAGTGAGTGAGTGAGCTTAGTTTTACGCAGCTTTTAGCAATATTCCAGCAATATCACGGCGGGGTACAACAGAAATGGGCTTTACACATTGTACCCATGTGGGGAATCGAACCCAGGTCTTCGGCTTGACGAGCGAACACTTTTACCACTAGGCTAATCCACCGCCTCTAAATGTAGAAGAAGTTCCTGAATGTGAACACCAAACTATACGTTGTATAGGAAATGTGGAAGATACCCTCTTTACATAAATTCTCAACTTCCATACATAAAATATTGATTCAAAATACTGAGAATGCAGGGTCTACCGAAAAAATCCGAAAACATGTTGATAATCTAGGTAATTATGGTTTTATAACATGGGCATAAAAATATTTGATATAAGGAATCTGCTATTTTCGTATGGATTTGAATATGTGTGGCGTTTCCACGGTGTTGGTAACGAGTGCCTATTTATTAAAAAAATCCTTAAAGAGCTGTTTATGTGTTTCGTGAGAATTGGATAATGCCCTTAGTTTAAGTTCTAGGTTTGATATATATACATCCTTTAAAACAATTATAGAAACCTGAAAGATATTTTTCAAACATTACAAGCAAGAAACATAGAACTATATTATACGATTTAGACTTAGTTTGACATATAAATGTATAATGGTTAATGCTGGACAAAAAGAGTCACTGGCTGGACATTTGTATGACGGATATCGAAGACGGATGTCATCTGATATTTATAATTGATGCGTATGTCAATATAAGAAAGGTGCATATTGCACAGAAATAATTCTGTCACCCTACTAGGGAGTGTGAGTGAGTTTAGTTTTACGCCGCACTCAGCAATATTCCAGCTATATGGCGGCGGTCTGTAAATAATCGAGTCTGGACCAGACAATCCAGTGATCAACAGCATGAGCATCGATCTGCGTAATTGGGAACCGATGACATGGGTCAACCAAGTCAGCGAGTCTGACCACCCGACCCTTTAGTCGCATCTGACGACAAGCATAGTCGCCTTTTGTGGCAAGCATGGGTTGCTGAAGACCTATTCTACCCCGGATCTTCACGGGTCCCTTACAAGGGAACACTTATCAGATTAAAGTAATCATACAACGAATCTGTTTATGTAAAATAAGCCCTGTTTCTAACACATTAAGAAATAGTTTAATTTGGTGCAATTAATTACATAATGTTATGATGCTTTCCACTATTTGCACTGCCCATACTTTGGTTGTCATCATAGTACGCATGCGCGCCGGAGTCCTTACGTACAATAAACCATCTTGAATCTTGAAACAGTTTTATGCACGAGTACATCATTTGGATCAGTACTTACAGGGTATGCTTGAACGAAACCCAAATTACAGCAAATAATTACAGAAAATAATCAAAGAATTAGATAATTACCTCCAGTTTTCCAAGTTAAACAATTAGAAATGCACTGGAAGCCTTTCACGACACAAGTGAAACCAACCGGATGACGTACCCCACTGAATATTCATGATATTGAGCGGCGGGAGGAAGCTGCCAGACCGTTATTGAGTTGTCGGTATACTGCTGCCTGCGTCTCAACAGCGCGGGTATGGATATAATCCTGCTAGTTTGGGTGTTTTGGATAGTTCATGTAACAGGTAAGAAATTTCGGTCCTTACAAATTCCATGTTTTGTATTGCATTTTGCGTTGGTTTAAATAAAGCAAAGTCGTTGAATTTCTGCCCCTAAATAGATCGTAGTGTTTATGAGACTAAGGATAGTTTTGAATACACTCGGATGGTTGGGTTCTTTCTATACAATAAACTGGTTTCTTTGGGGACTGGTGTCCTGTTGAACAGAGGTGGTGTCGGAGACACGTGGTTCGAAATTTGTTTACTTTCAAGAATAATTTATGTTTGAATTGTCCGAAGCATTTATTGTATATATTCAAGGGCACTGGAAATGCCTTGCATTTACAAGAAAGAGTGAGTGAGTTTAATTTTACACCGCATTTAGCAATATTACAGCTGGCGATTGTAGTCAGATTTTGCCATACTATAAAATCATTAAAATACTACGTCTAAAAAATCTGGTAGGTTTAAATTTACCTTGAATGTTTCGGGACTTACGAACCCTCTCAGGAGGACAATAATTTTGCACTACTTCAATCCCCTTCGAAGGTACAGCCACTAACAATCTCAGCTGCTGAATCATACTACCAGTTATAAAAATACATCTATCAAAACAGATCAATCAAAATGTATCAGTTAAGTATTTTTCTTTTAAATAATCAATAATAAAATGACAGTTAACATTATTAAAATGGTCTTTAATCGTTTTTGCACTGAAATATTAATACAGTCAAGCGGGACATGTTTGACCGTGATTCCTTCATCACAAGGGATACAAAACGGAGGATCCTCGCCATTTAATAAATATTCATGTTTATATCCGCTGTGGCGAATACGACATGACCGTATAATGACCTCTTCAAATCTGGACTGACAACCAAGTAGATGTAACCGATGGTTGGTTTGATTGCATGTAATTATATTGATACCTACTTGAGTGTCCCACCTCTTTTGCATTAGATCATGATACAAGATCTAATGTCAGCTTTGTAGTTATGGGGTCAGAAGTGGTGTCAGAGATTTGTAGAGTGCTGTCTTTGCAGCAAAATCGGTCATTGTGTTTCCAGAAATTCCAACATGGCTGGGTAACCAACAGAGGACGATGTCGTATTGGCCAGTAGCAAGATCAATTATAATTCAACTACATGTATTTCGATTAAAAGTGGATGTTTACAAGATAGATTGTTTTTGTAATCTGAAGGCACGAAATAGTGTCTAAGATTATATATTGTTTATATTTAGCGTGTCTATTAATATATCTAAGTGCTTTTAGTATTGCGTGTGTTTCTGCCTTGAAAATTGAACTATCATCGGGTACTCTAGAAGATATTGTTCTGGATCTAATGACAGACGCAGGTCTTTGGCGTGACGAGCAAACGCCTTAACTCCTAGGCAATCCCGCCGCCCTGTATGAAAGTATGACTGCAATGGTCTTCATTTTTATCCGAATAGGAATAGTTCCCTTAGTCGCCTCTACCGACAAGCATGGGTTACTGAAGATCAATTCTAACCCGGATCTTCACGGGTTCAAGACGTTATAAATGCCTCCATTGTTGAACATATTTATTCAACGTTTCTCTTTACTTGAGACAAGCTAATGCCTTCAGGATAGTAAGATATGTCATGGAAACATTCACTTTTAATCTAAATTCTGGTATTAAATGAGGACTTAGAGGATGGAGAAGATTACAATGTCTTTTGTTGGTTACCAAGCCATGCTGGAATCACCGGTACCGCAGGGACTAAGGCAACATCCCCCTAATTCGTGACACCACTTCTGATACCTTACAGTAATTTTGAACCTATAACTAGAAGCGCCATCAGAAATCTAATGCAAGAGAAGTGTGACACCCAAGGACATATCAACGAACTTCTTTTTTATTGTATACACAACGTTTCCTTGCCCTTTCGTCAGGTGAAGATGATGATGTTTTGCGTCGGCTTCTGGCTGAGGCCAGTGTCGCCTACGGGGTAGGTGGGAGCTACATAAATAATTTACCGACGACGTCGTCATATCGGCCACAGCAGATTAAAACATGACTAGTTATAAAAAAGTGAAGATCCTCCATTTTGTATCCTTTGTGATGAAAGAATCACGGGCAAGCTGTCTTACTGGTTTATTCGCAGGAAGGCGACTTTTTAGTTTTAGCTTTTCGAACGAAGGCGAAACACGGTACCCTTTGATGTTTAGTGTTGATGCAGTTATGTTTAAGTAAGGGCTTACCGGGAGATTAACAGGGGATTAAAGTAAGGGTGTCACTAAATTTGTACCAATGTCTACGTGAACACAGTTCCTGGGTCGTTCATGCTGACACTGAGTTCGTGAACAGTTTTTGCCGAACTGTTATTTGCAATTTATTGGTTATCATAATAATTGTGAGTTCGTATCAATCGCATAAAACAACAATGTCAACAGTTTAATATAAATATGCCGATACAAGAGTCATCATTACTCGATTTCTGAGACATGGCGAACACTCAGCTACAGTGCAAGTATGTATCTACAGCTCGAGGTGGAAGGTATTTGGTAGTTGGTAGCTATATGTACAGAATCAGTAAGAGGAAAGCAAATGAGGTAGATTATTGGAGATGTACCACGAAAGACTGCAGTGCCTCACTGACAACGAAGAATGACATTCCAGTGAGAGGCGACGCAACTCACAATATATATCATTATTATTATTTTACAGATTATAGATAATATTTTTTGTAGTCAATCCAGCACTTGGAGAGGTTGCGGTGATATGTTGAAGCCTCTTCCAAAATCATTATTATTGCTATGTTTTACAGATTAAATGAAAATGCAGCAGAGAGGGTTCGGGTGATCCTGGCACAGTCAGGCTGGTAAGGCTAATCATCAGCTCAGGGCCCTCGCCCCCTCTACACGCAGCCCAGACAGCAAATGGGACTTCTCCCAGGAAACGCTGCCTAGTCGAACCCACCAAGAACTTTCCGAAGAATATAAAGGCTCTCCAAATCTGCATCCTTCTGCATTACCCAGAGTGTCAGAAGGGCTGTGCATCCGGTGGAGAACCCGAGCACTCTCCTGATCTGCGCCAAGAGATCAGGAGGTACCAAACCAAGGGCACTGAGAACAATGGGGAGCCTGACGACAGTGTACTTAGGATGCAAGCGAGACAGCAAGGCGAGGTCTGCATATTTATCATGCTTTTCCTGAATCTTGCCAAACACGTTGCTGTCAAAAGAGACAGAAAATTCAATGATATAAATACATTCATTGGCTTTATCAACAAGGTCAAGATCAGGTTTGTTGGCTGGAATTCTTCTGAGGCTGTATAAAGGCTTATTCCACAAAAAGTTTAAAAGCATCATTTTCAATAACGCGTTGGACATGTTCAGGGTCGTATCATGGATGGACCTCGGAGTCAAAACCGCAGACATGGCGGAGACGGTAGTAAAAGCAGCGAGCCATGCTATCGTGTCTTTTAAGATATGATGTTTGTGCCAAGGAAGGGCATCCACTCACAAGGTGTAAGACAGTCTCTGTGCATTCATTGCAAAATCGACATTTCATATTGATATTTTCTTTAAAGGTCACATAAACCCTAGGGGGGTAAAAATACATAAATCACTAACTCGCATCGTTATAAATGAAACCCCGTCATTAAAACTACTCATTTCGACCTTTAATTGACTTAAATCGACCTTTTTGACAACAGTGCACAATTCTCACCCGCGAACGAAATTTCAACCAATCAGAGCGGCGCGACTCTGTGACGTCATATGAGGAATAGCTTGGAGGGCCTGTGCAGAATTCATCTACATTTTAGGGGTTAAATTATCTTGTTTACAGACTTGTATAAACCTGAAATCGTGACAATTGTTGTGGAAAATGAAAGCTATATGTTCTCACAATCTACTGTCATTTAATTTTGTCTCATGCTTTGCCTAGTTTCCGAGTTACAACTTGTTTTCATAGACGATTCTGTCAAAATCGATTGGTGTCGTTAGGCCCTATTTGTATAATGACTGATCCAAATTGATCCCATTTCTGTGCTTTTTTACCTCGATATTTAATCATGTCATGTAAAAATCTGTTTGTATTCTCAAAACAGTGTCGGCCCATAAGTTTTCACATGCAATACAGCAATTAATACTCCCTTGTTGTAACCCGTGTTAGGTGGTATAAACCTACACATGTTATTTGTCATCATTCACTTGATGGTCAGTTAATGAATTTATAACAGGTATAATTAGTGGTAACACACTTAAATTACCTGACAAAGGTTCCCATTTGGCATTTCTTGTGTCTGGAGTAAATATTCAACATTATAAACATCGATCAAAGGATTAACCGATAACACGCTGATTGATTAATTACTTTTATCTTACACAGCGGAATTGTCAAAAGGTAGTGTTTATGTATGTAGATTTACTAATCTATACTGAATACACTCTGTCGTGTCGGTGTCTGCGTAAAACAACGTCCTTCTTTCAAAGGATTAACCAGCAATACATTGATTGATTGCCCATTATTGGCTAACTAAATTACTGTTTTAAAGAAAGGCGGACATTATGCAATTAGTTGCCAGGTGTGCTATCTTGGGTGACCAATGAGATTATACACCAATACCTGAAAAGATTTATCTCTTTTTCGTATATTAAACTGTTAAAAGACACATCATTTGGAACAGTTTTGTGGATATTGATGGATACATTCCTCGAACAAGGTAATGGCCTGATATTGTTCCTATAACTTTAATCTGTTTTAATTTTAATATTTGCATTTTGTTTTTTATTCATTTGTCGTAGCATTCAACAGAATCATTGTTTTCACCGTGAAGTGTAATGAGACAGACAACATGCACTAGGTGTGTGTGTGCGAATTATGATTCACATTGGCAAACTATAAAATGTCTAGATATTACAGTTCTGTTATAAATTCACTATAAGTATCAGCAGATCGTCTGCTTTTATTTAGTTTCAAAATGCATACAAGTATGATAATAAACTAATTAGGATTATAAGACCAAATATAAAGACGCACATTGACTAGTATCTACATA